TCAGCTAACCTATTGACCTCAGTATCGACATCAACATCAACACTGTCATAACAAACAGCATCACTTCTATCTCGCAACTGTCTTATAACTTCTACATCAATGTTATTTCGGAATACACTAGCCCTATCAATATTGTAGCGTCTAGGCCTGTTTCCGGTATTAGTTTTTGAAGAATTTAAAGTCTCAGAGACAGATTCATCTCTCTTTTTAACCTTACTCGCCAGCGATAGGGTAACAGGGCAGTGTACATCTGATAGCACAGGTGAGAAATCAAGAACATCAAAGTCATTAATCAAAGGCATACAAGCAGCAGAGACAATGATTCGATTACTTTCTGGCGATTCATGAATATTAGCGTGACGGCTGGATGGATGGTTTCTAAGACTGTAGTAAGACTTACAGTATCTCACTCCACACTGCATTAATTATGGAGGCGACTGTGTGGATGGTAAGACTGTAGTAAGACTTACAGGATATCACTCCACACAGCAGTAATTATGAAGACGGCTGTGTGGATGGTAAGACTGTAGTTAGACTTACAGTAGATCACTCAACACCAATTATTTATTTATGGTTGGTTGGTTGGTTTGTTGTTTAACGCCGCACTTGGCAATATTCCAGCTATATGACGGCGGTCTGTAAATAATCGAGTCTGGACCAGACAATCCAGTGATTAATGTCATGAGCATCGATCCACGCAATTGGGATCGATGACATGCATCAACCAAGTCAGCGAGCCTAACCATCCGATCCCGTTAGTCGCCTTTTACGACAAGCATAGTCACATTTTACGGCAAGCATGGGTTGCTGAAGACCTATTCTACCCCGGAATCTTCACGGGTAATTATATATGGAGATGGCTGTGTGGATGGTAAGACTGTAGTAAGACTTACAGTATATCACTCCACACTGCAGTAATTATGGAGATGTATGTGTGGATGGTAAGACTGTAGTTAGACTTACAGTAGATCACTCCACACCAATATTTATGGTTGGTTGGTTTGTTGTGTAACGCCGCACTTGGCAATATTCAAGCTATATGACGGCGGTCTGTAAATAATCGAGTCTTGACCAGACAATCCAGTGATTAATGTCATGAGCATCGATCCACGCAATTGGGATCGATGACATGCATCAACCAAGTCAGCGAGCCTGACCAACCGATCCCGTTAATCGCCTTTTACGACAAGCATAGTCACATTTTACGGCAAGCATGGGTTGCTGAAGACCTATTCTACCCCGGAATCTTCACGGGTAATTATTTATGGAGACGGCTGTGTGGATGGTAAGACTGTACTAAGACTTACAGTATATCACTCCACACCCATTAATTATGGAGGCGACTGTGTGGATGGTAAGACTGTAGTTAGACTGTAGTCACGTTTTTGACAAGTTTGTTACTAATATTTTGGCCGTGTCGCCGTTAAATATGCCGACATGTATGGATCCTACATGGGACATTGTCGCATTGTTTCACTTGCAGAAACAGATAAAGGTAGCAACGCCTGACATTTGTTTGCCTGACTCTATCTGACCAGCACAATAAGAGATGCTGGTCCTGTCCGATGTGCGTTATCGGTTTGACCCTTGACAGTTTTTTTCAAAGACAATGGAACTTGATCCGTTAGTTGTGACATTCCCTTATTTCACAAATTCCAATTATTGATATGTGGTATGTAACCTGATAAGATGTTTGTAAAACTTTGTTTGACCATTTTCCCCATGTTAAAATATGTATGCGCATTTGTAATTATAGTGACTGAGTTCGATCCCTGGGCACATTCACCTATAATCAGTCTAGTAAAATAAGCAGGCACTACTGATTAGCGCGACAACGCGACATTTCATCACTAAGTCAGCTGTGTGGATGGTAAGACTGTAGTAAGACTTACAGTATATCACTCCACACTGCAGTAATTATGGAGACGGCTGTGGGGATGGTAAGACTGTACTAAGACTTACAGTATATCACTCCACACCCATTAATTATGGAGGCGGCTGTGTGGATGGTAAGATTGTAGTTAGACTGTAGTCACGTTTTTGATAAGTTTGTTACTAATATTTGGGCTGTGTCGCCCTTAAATATGCCGACATGTATTGATCCTACATGGGACATTGTCGCATTGTTTCACTTGCAGAAACAGATAAAGGTAGCAACGCCTGACATTTGTTTGCCTGACTCTATCTGACCAGCACAATAAGAGATGCTGGTCCTGTCCGATGTGCGTTATCGGTTTGACCCTTGACAGTTTTTTTCAAAGACAATGGAACTTGATCCGTTAGTTGTGACATTCCCTTATTTCACAAATTCCAATTATTGATATGTGGTATGTAACCTGATAAGATGTTTGTAAAACTTTGTTTGACCATTTTCCCCATGTTAAAATATGTATGCGCATTTGTAATTATAGTGACTGAGTTCGATCCCTGGGCACATTCACCTATAATCATTCTAGTAAAATAAGCAGGCACTACTGATTAGCGCGACAACGCGACATTTCATCACTAAGTCAGCTGTGTGGATGGTAAGACTGTAGTAAGACTTACAGTATATCACTCCACACTGCAGTAATTATGGAGACGGCTGTGTGGATGGTAAGACTGTAGTAAGACTAACAGTATATCACTCCACACCCATTAATTATGGAGGCGGCTGTGTGGATGGTAAGATTGTAGTTAGACTGTAGTCACGTTTTTGATAAGTTTGTTACTAATATTTGGGCTGTGTCGCCGTTAAATATGCCGACATGTATGGATCCTACATGGGACATTGTCGCATTGTTTCACTTGCAGAAACAGATAAAGGTAGCAACGCCTGACATTTGTTTGCCTGACTCTATCTGACCAGCACAATAAGAGATGCTGGTCCTGTCCGATGTGCGTTATCGGTTTGACCCTTGGCAGTTTTTTTCAAAGACAATGGAACTTGATCCGTTAGTTGTGACATTCCCTTATTTCACAAATTCCAATTATTGATATGTGGTATGTAACCTGATAAGATGTTTGTAAAACTTTGTTTGACCATTTTCCCCATGTTAAAATATGTATGCGCATTTGTAATTATAGTGACTGAGTTCGATCCCTGGGCACATTCACCTATAATCAGTCTAGTAAAATAAGCAGGCACTACTGATTAGCGCGACAACGCGACATTTCACCACTAAGTCAGCTGTGTGGATGGTAAGACTGTAGTAAGACTTACAGTATATCACTCCACACTGCAGTAATTATGGAGACGGCTGTGGGGATGGTAAGACTGTACTAAGACTTACAGTATATCACTCCACACCCATTAATTATGGAGGCGGCTGTGTGGATGGTAAGACCGTAGTAAGTCTTACAGTATATCACTCCACACCCATTAATTATGGAAGCGACAGCGTGGATGGTAAGACTGTAGTAAGACTTACAGTATATCACTCCACACGCATTAATTATGGAGGCGACTGTGTGGATGGTAAGACTGTAGTAAGTCTTACAGTAAATCACTCCACACCCATAAATTATGGAGAAGGCTGGGTGGATGGTAAGACTGTAGTAAGACTTACAGTATATCACTCCACACTGCATTAATTATGGAGACGGCTGTGTGGATGTTAAGACTGTTGTAAGATTACAGTATATCAATCCACATCCATTATTTATGGAGACGGCTGTGTGGATGGTAAGACTGTAGGAAGACTTACAGTATATCACTCCACACCCATTATTTATGGAGACGGCTGTGTTGATGGTAAGACCGTAGTAAGACTTACAGTATGTCACTCCACACCCATTAATTATGGAGGCTAATGGATGGATGGTAAGACTGTAGTAAGACTAACAGTATATCGCTCCACACTCATTAATTATGCAGGCGAATGTGTGGATGGTATGTAAGAGTGTAGTAAGACTTACAGTATATCACTCCTCACCCATTAATTATGGAGACGGCTCGGTGGATGGTAAGACTGTAGCAAGACTTGTACGATGTCTTTTGACGTGTGATTAATACAGATGTTGAAAGAACGGAAAATGTGTTTGGTACAACACTGGTAGGGCCTGCCACACTGGAGGGCGCCATGTACTTCTGGTAATAGAACATAACGGTGTGCATCGATTCTCACAGACATGAATACATGATTAGATATCTTATCTAAATACATGGACGCGGCAATGAAAATAACAAACAAATATGTAGCAAATTAATTCACCTGTATTTAGGAAGGTTTACTTTTCATATATTACTCATATGCAGACATTATGTGATTTTGCTTTCAGTGTAGTAAAAATAATGTTCTTGCATGTTCTGTGTTTAGGTTCCAAAACAACAAATATCTATTTACTGTAATCTTTTTTATCAAAGAGAGGCATTGTATCTCAGCAAGTGCGCATAAAGGCAGTGTACAGCAAAACACTTAGATTCCAACATAAGAAATAGGATTCAAGAATTGTTTCATGTTATGATGTATAAAGACACATGGGGTAGATGAGCAACTATCTAGGTGTGTGTTGTAAACTAGGACTGATTTGGGAACAAATCGTTATTTGGTTAAAAATTGGGATATTTTTAAGTTCTTAGTTTCTTCAAGAGTTCTGTAGCATCAGTGTAATAATATAAAACTAAGCATTAAAACTCTTCCTCTTTATTGGTCCTGTTATCAGTGAAATACAGGTTACCACTACAAAGCCATACAATTAGTTACATTAACATGAGTTGGTAAAGTTTGTATTCCGATTTGGGAATGTTTACTGACATTTGCTGCCGAATATCGGCTTCAGAGCAGATCCATACTTATAAATCTCCGTGTTACTGTGTATTATGTCATTTATAACGATTTACCAATCACTGAGCTACCTGATATGTATGCCTCTTCTACAAACGTGTTTAAATCGTATTCATGAGTGAACATTGTCATAGGCAAAAGATTTGTTGAATGACAACAAGTTATCTGAGGCCACGTGTTTTAATGTTGATCATATGCTATATATAGTTGTCTGACCACCTTATTCTGTTTCAGCCTCAAGTGATCCGAGTCAGGATCTTAGCCGAGGCGAGAGAATGTCACTGGTCCAAGTGACGACACAAGAGTCTCATCTACACGGTAGGTGGGGGGACCAAGCATGTGGTAGACAGTGTCATTGTCCAACTTTGTAGGATATTTGGTCAGATCATCATATCAGCTAGATAGCTTAGACTCTACTCCGCAAATGTCCTATAAACAGTCTCTAAAGGTTGATGCACGTATTCTCTTATTATCCTATTAATTTCAAACAATGTCAACTACCATCATACATCTCAATCCAACAAGCAGGTGTATAGACACACGGGTTAGATGAACAACAATCTACACTTGTGTTGTATTTTTATGAGAGTCATTTAATTTTTTTGACAATCACAAAACTACTATACTTTCCCTTCTGCTATTACAAACGTATTGTAAATCTAGTTCTGTAGTAAACGTTTCACAAGCCATCAAACCGGTTGAATACGAATAAATTGTCTGTGACCAATATAAATAATGCTTACGTGCTATATATAGTTTCCTAAACAACATATTCTGTGTTTCAGCCTCGAGTGACCCGAGCCGGCGCAGGAGGGATCCACGGCTCTCCACTGCTTCCGGCGGTAGGTGGTAGAACCAAGCAGGCAGAAAGCTCACACCTAATCTTTCATTAAAACAGTGTATTCAATGTACAAGCTGATATAAAGCAATGTCATAATAGATATCATATTATCTGAATCATTCCAAACAGCAATTGCACTGACCGTGTCTGAATATCATCTTATAAAGCTCAGTACAACTCACCAGCCCTACACAGAATAATGTTACAACTACTGGATGTAGAAGAAAGCACAAATGTTAAGTGAAAAGATTGTTGTTAGTTCTTTACATAAACCTCTCCCCTCATCGTAATATTGTTGTCATCCAAACAGAAAGTGGTTCATCATGTATCGACGTTACTGTCAAGTATCAACACTTCGAGGTGTGAACACAGTAGATGTATGACAAAGATGTCTGGATGTGTACAGAGTGTTACTTTGTGTTACAGGGACTCAATCACAAGCAGACTACGACCTATTCTACGCCAGCAGGGACGGGGACCCGAAGGAGGTGAAGCGGCTCCTGACAACAACGGGAGTCAAAGTCAACTGTAGAGAGGGATTCAGGAGTCTGACACCGGTGATGGCGGCAGCAGACAGGGGACACAGAGAAGTGGTGAAGCTCCTGGTGAAGGAAGGAGCTGATGTGTCAATGGTGGACGAGTACGGTTACAACATCCTTCACTTCGCCTGTATTGGAGGAGACGTGGAGACGGTGAAGTTTGTGCTGTCTCTGAACGTGGTGGACATCAACAGTAGAGGAGGGGGGAGCAGGACACCGGTGATGAGGGCAGCATGGAGTGGACGCAGAGACGTGGTGGAGCTCCTGGTGAAGGCAGGGGCTGATGTGTCACTGGTGGACGTGCTCGGTTACAACACCCTTCACTGGGCCTGTCTGGGAGGAAATGTGGAGACAGTGGAGTTTGTGCTGTCACTGAACGTGGTGGACATCGACGCCAGGACCAACTCGGCGGACACAGCGGCCGTCATGGCGAGAGGCTGGGGACATCAGCGAGTGGTGCAACTGCTGGTGTCCTGTGGCGCTCAGTGACGTCAGTGTCGTGTTTGTGTAAACGGTAGAGGGGGACGTGTTGTTACTGACAGTGACGTGGTGTGCCGTGCACGTCGTCGTGTTATATATTCCCGTATTTGGTGAGAATGTTTGTTGTGTTTGAGGAGAATAAAACTTGATAAAAATATGTTTAGATATTTTGCCATTTGTTGTGTTTGGAACATCGTATGATATTAAGGTATGAAAATTGTTAACTGAGTGTAAATATTGATGATGTGTGATTGGTATGTGAAACCTGCATCTCGTGATATAATTAGTCTGTGTTAATTGTATGTGAGGAGTTTATAATTAGTGGTGAAAGAGACAACAAACTGTTTGTTTACATCTCGCTGCACTCTGTGACCTCAGAATGAGCCAAGGTTCGCCTAGCTGACGTGGCGCCAAATGTACAATGACAGTGACGTCACACTGTCGATGACAGTACGGCATTGTGGCCTCGCACCAAAATGACCGGCTGTTTTCTCTGCCAAAACAGGGCGGCACAATGCAGGCTTCATGGCATATGCATACAACACATGGACTTTGTGGTAGATATAGGCCTAGTTTAACAAGGGAAATATACATCTTTTTTATGGTGTTACTTTTAATGTGCAAATTATTGCTGCGTGACCTTAAAAAATAAAAGCAACAAAACCTTTTCCATATTAATAAGTAATATCTGCCAGAAACAGAATCCGACTATATGATTTCATATTTCTTCACACTGTAACCAACTTTTATAACTTTCAACTAGAGTTCGTTGTCGTTACGATTGTATCTAATTTTAGCAAATCCCAAAGGTATATTGATAGATTGTACGAGTAGGATTATTTTTTGTTCATGTGATTATGAATCACTATCAAATAGTGATGATACCTGGTGATCGAAATAGTTTATTATTTGTTCATTTGTTGTTTAAACCCCTGGATGCCAGAGGGACATATATGTCCTTCCTCTACAACCCTCACTTTGAAGTCGAATAAAATTCAAAATACATTACCCACACAAATACACTTCACAGTTTTGAATAAGGTGGGAAATTCCCTGTTCTGTGATATCATCCACTGGCATTTTAGGCCAAGCAAGAGTACTACAAATTACCTCTGAAAATTAGAAACATCGTAAATGTCGCCATTTTTAACACATTACTAAATCACTGCTCACGGCGTTATTTACAGCATGTTTTGAAATCTAAATTACGGATATTTACTCGGAAAAAATGAATTTCAAAAAGTGCATATTAGTGATCACGGGCATCTGTCTTTTATCAAATCACCAATGATCGTTCCAAAACGTCTCCGATAACCCTAGAATCGTTTCGAATGTTTTGGAAAATACGCAAACACGATCGCCAAAGTGAACTTTCCGCCATATTGGATAGTGTTTACAAAATCATGTTTCAGGTACACCGGTTATGAGACGCCTGTAACATCATGTATATTTCAAACTTAGCGTCGATAGACACCCCCTTGAATTCCTCATACATTTAAGAATGACATTACCAATGGTCTTTGTCACCAATACAAAGTGGCTACATGAAATCAAGCAAGATAAGTTAGGTGTGAATACGAACGCTGTGCTCGAAAAATTGCACTTCAGATTTTATAGTATATATATAGTATAGCATTTTCTCCTAATTTCAGCTATCCATTCGTCTATTCGTTCAAGATATTGGCTCAACATTTGTCAAAGTTACGGTCCTGTGTGACGCCATGACTGACGCAAAATCACGCACAACGACAACAGTATTTATCGGAATATTTGACTATTTCCGTTGATTTCAATGAAAAATAGAACAACAAATAACAGGACACAGATTGTCAGAATGTTTCTGATTACTGATTAACGATCCCTGAATCACCGAAGGTCACCTCGTAAAACGCCGCGTACTGTTGACAGTGAACAGCCATTTTGTAAAAGTCAGTCACCAGTAGTGATGTCGTACGTCAACATTGTTGTACATATTTGGTAATTTCTTTGAGGTGAAAGTTCTAGTATGAAAGTACATAGGCCGTGGGCTAGGTATGACCCACGAGCACCCCCTACACATCCAAACCCCACTTAATTTTTTTAAAGCCCATAAACATACTAAACATGATTTTGAATGTTAACAAGAAAAAAGTTGGGACGAACTTGTTGTTACAGCCTTTCAAAGTATGGTACCCTATATCGCGTTTTCGCCCGGTTTTGCCGTATATCACTTGGGGGTATGATTACGTTTTGGGTTGTCATCTCACTAGTGATCCACTGATCTTCAAGTGTGATATACCACTGGAATCCATATATAAATACCTCTCCAATGAGGTATCAATAATTGGTATTGAGTGAATATGGACCAACCCATGGCAAATCGAACGTCATACATCCCGACGAAACTAAATTCTTCTCGCAGAAACCTTTAACCCGGTATATGTTCTAGGTACGTGTGCCTGAATCCACTATAATCTTCTAACACATGTTCCAGTACATCTCTTAAAGTACTTACTTAACATGGCAGTTCGGATACATTGCGGGTGAATTATTTCCACTTACCTTACATACTACAAAGTCATAAAACTTCTAAAGAGCAGCAAACTGATGTAAGTGGTGTTGATCATGATAACCTAAGTTTATTGTTTTGCCCCTCAGACAACGGACATTATCTCTAGTCCAGATTTACACCGCCACATCAGGCTTTTCTCCACCATCCACCTGACACGCCGTGATAAAACTGGAATACTGTTCACAGCAGCCTTAAACCCAACTCACTCACTCATTCAATCAATCACTCAATCAATCACTCTATCACTCAGACATATTCTAATCTTCTATCCCAAACTATAGCCTAGTCTTATTGTTAAGAGATACGAGGTCGTCTCGTGGGGTTCGGCTCAAACTGATATCACACCAAGGTATTTTTGTGACCAGAAACTCTATGACCTTTTTGCTGATATACTTGCAGATGGCAACTACATGCTATACCTATGATGAAACAAGAGTATTTCCTTCTACCACACAGATCTGCACCTGAGGTGGCTCCACTCAGACTTGTGTCCTAACCTTCCCCGCTCACCTCAGCCCCTTAGTTTTTATAAAATGACTCACAGGTGCCACGCTTGTAAACAAACTACCAAACTGCACTTACAGTGTTGGCCAACCTACAGTGAGTGAGTGAGTTGGGTTTAACGCCGCTTTTAACAGTATTCCAGTTATATCACGGTGTGTCAACTTAATGTGGGAGGAAAGCCCGAAGTGATGCAGGTCCCAGATGTTTACCACTTCAGTGAAACCCACGAGCACGGGTATGCTGCTGACAAACCTAGAAACATAATCGGGGCGAACCCACAATCATAGGTTTCTGGCGTGCCCAAGGGACGCAACTCTGCACAGCGAATCGCGGCGCCTTAGACGACTGGGCCACCCGTGCCCCCGGCCAACCTACAGCATCTCTGTAAAGATGACTCTGATATATAACAGATGACTTCACAAAAGCATTTTGTTTGACACAGCTGAACCCACATTAAGTGAGTAAGTGAATATAGTTTCAGGGAGTGGGGGGATATAGTTTCAGTGGATGAGTAAATATAGTTTGAGTAAGTGAGTGAATATAGTCTCAGTGAATTAGATGAGTTATGGAATATAGTTGTGGCAGACTCAAGTATGTTTAAATATGTACATAACTTTTAATTAAGATTTGTCAGTATGTTAGTAATAAGGAGTAAGGTGGTATGACCCTGTTGTCATTTACTTAATTAGATAAGTACCATTTGATATTTACATTTAACAAAGAATACAGTATCAGTTTGAATAATTATGTTTTATACGTCAGCATTTTATATGTTAAACATCCATTCCACAGCGCTGAAATATTATTAAGCTTTCTCTCAGTTTAACCAATTGCAACACTGTATGCTTTTGACTCTATGATCCAGTGCGTCCTGGCCCAGTCTATTGGCTCCTGATAGGGCAAGCTGGACGACTTCATTGTTTAGATTTTATACTTTAGAAATGAGTTGCTACTTCGCGTCTTAAGGAAGGACATATCTTTCAGTATATTTACTACGGCTGACGTAGTACCTGCCTTTGTACTGTATAAGTTTATGCCTACGCGGGCGTGGTGTTACCTGTCGATTAAAAAATTGAAACAATATGTTAACCGAGAAGTTTGTTTTTAAAAGAATATAGTGTGAAACAAACAAACAACCAACAAATGGTGTAAAATAAACAAATGTATTACAAAATTCACAAGGTCTTTAAATCAATACAAATTACAGCACAGCAATTATAATGGCAGTACAAAACAGAGGGATAATACAATATTCAATGACAGTATATAGAGTCTTAAATGAACTCCTTACATCAGCAGACAGGGGTAACGTAGGCTTGCTTGTTCTACTGGATCTGTCCGCAGCATTTGATACCATAGACCCCATCAAACTTTAGGATTGCTTACACTATCAGATACGACCAGAAGGAAATGCTCTCAAATGTTTTATATGGCTGATATCTAGTTTTGGTGAAGCTGGTAGTGTATTGCTTTTCTGATTTGATTGATTAGAAACATAATGTATCGTGTATATATTTATAGGTATAGATGAAGTCGCAGTAAATATCTCATGTTATAGCCTATCTGTACAGTAATGGCAAGTAGATGTGAATGTATATCGGTATGTTGATTGATGTATCTGGGTAAGTGCTGGTGTATGAGCTTTGTGTGTTTGATATGAGTTGGTGAGTGAGTGAAGAGAGTTGAATGAGTAAGTGAATATAGTTTTGATGAGCGAGTGAATATAGTTAAGTGAGTGAGTGAGTGAGCGAAAAAAGTTTGAATGAGTGAGTGAATATAGTTGAGTGAGTGAAAATAGTTTGAGTGAGTGAGTTAATATAGTTGAGTGAGTGAAAATAGATATTGTTAGACATAGAAGGGGAATATAATCATGGATGTCGAAACATAGGAGAGAAATATTGGTTTCGACGCATTATACTTAAAACATCACTGGTCAGTGCCTGCGTATTAAACTGTAAATAATATAAAATGAGGAGTCATTTAGAACTTGTATACAGTAGATTGAGCGTTACAATATGGCATTTCTGATTCAACTTTACATAATGATAACAATGACATAAGAAGTTAAGTCATAAAAGAGGAATTTTTACATTTTCTTCCCT